GTGTGTGTATAAATGTGTATAGTTACGGTATTATAAACTGTTTAGTTTTCTGGATGATCACTGTTTGGTCGTTTTGTTCTTGTGTCCCAGCCAACACTTGCTTGCTGATTCACGACATCGTGGCTTTTGCCGCTCACATTAACGTAGTGATGGAATAACTGCTGTGTTCTGTTGTCTGCTCTGCTTCACTGGTCAGTTTTGTGTTAATATGTCAGTTTATGACAACAATAAAACGGCCTGAATCTCTGGGCTCCGTCCCAGCATCTGGTCAGGTTTAACAGATCGTTTTCGTCACTCTGAACTTCCAGGGCGTTCAATTTTATTCAGCCCTCAGTTTGGTTCTGTAGGTTTAACACAATAGGTGGCTTTTTGGTGCCGTCCAGTTGGGTCGGAGCGCCTCGTAACATCTGGTTGTGTTTTGATTGGAATCTGCAGATCTTGACATAGTACGTCATGTTCTGAAGGTCTGTGTTTGGACAAAAATGAAATGATATTTATGTGAAGTTGAGTATATTTTTACTCAGTGGGTTATTGTCTGTGACGGCCTCTGCGGTCGTTCCCCTGGAAGATAAAGTGCGCTTGAATCCCTGCGTAAACGAAATCGGGTCAAATCACTTCCCAGTCACTTCCAAATCAGTTGCACATTAATTCCTGGTCGTTGTCGTCCAGGTGATGTGACTGCTGTGGTCTGCAGTTCTTTAGGCGTCAGTGAATACCGATCGCAGCAGGTAAATATTAAATGTGCAGAAAGACGTGTGCACACTGTGACTGAACATTCATTTCCAGTACTCTCCTGCATATGAATAAGTCATTGAAGCCTACAGCTGTGTGCTCCCTAACAGGAGGTAGCAGGTACGGAATCTGACCTCATTTATACCTTTATTAAATGATGCGGATGAAGTCAAATATCAAAGGAAAAACGTGCATCTAAAAAGATACACGTTCACTTCTGATATAAGTAATTCTCTAACAAAGCCTGTGATTGAAATGTTGATGACACTGACGTTGGATTAAAACATTCCATGTTATCGGTCGAGAGCAGTTTTGCAGTGTTTTTATCTGGAATTGTTTTGTGCATGTGTAAGGCTTGATATATGCTGGCCCTTATTTACAAGGAATTACGGTAATCCAGCCGTGCGGTGATAAAAGCTTGGGTGACCGTTTCCAGGTCATTCCCTGATAAAATGGTGCAGAATTTGGCCGTGCCCCAGTGGTGATAAAAGCTGTCATTCAAAACACGCTTCAGTTGTTATGTTACCAAATGAGACGACGGACGAAATGGACGAAAGTTGTATACAGTATCACAGCAGTCACTCTTGAGATCAGTTTCCAGCTACCTGTTATTTAAATCAGACCCATTTTATTTCCCAGGTTTTGTAAATTTTACATGAGGAGAAAACAGAGAGGATCCACTGCTGAGCAACTGTACGTTTACTGGCAGGAGCTCAGGTTCCTGGGTTTAGATCAGAGCGTGAAGTGACATCAAGATCTCACCCTGACAGGTCTCTGGGTTTACTGTAGTACCGCTGGCACCCTTAAATAGAAATCCTTAGTTAATGGCCTGGAGACCCTGACACAAGCACGAAAGCCTGAAAGATAATTTTATGTGTTCAGGGACCTGTGTTTAAAAAAAAAAAAAAAAAAAAAAAAAACCTTTGTGACTTTTTACAGTATTTGAACCAAGGAACGACGGAAAAGGGAAAGATGTAACATTTAGTGTCTTTGCTATCAATTAATTTGGTCATTAATGAAATCAGGATATTTAACATGAATGTTGTTTTATATGCTGTGCAATATGTCCTCTATTTACCCTGAGAGAAAAAATATGTCAAATGTTGCCAAAACAATGTGGGGAAAAAGGAAATAAAATCAGCAATGTCATGAAAATATGTCACATGTTGCCAAAACAATGTGGGGGGAAAAAAGGAAATAAAATCAGCAATGTCATGCACTTCCAGATTCTGTTGAACACAAATAAATTACTATACTATACTATACTATACTATTAAAAATAAAATGCATTGTGTTTGTAAATACAATATAAAATTCCATATTCATTATCTATCAATTGTGATATAAATAAAATAAACAATTAAAAATAATTGATAATTAATATGTCATGAGTAAGAAATAAAATAGGACAAAATGGATTTACAGTTTGGACCAAAATATATTTACTTATATTTATTCATTTATTTTGTGAAATTTTCTAGGTGAAAATTAACAAACGTTTTTTGATAAACTCCAGTCCAAGAACATGGAAGTCTGGTCCATCACAGCCCAGCATGACATGAACATTAACAGTCAATACTGGTCGGACTGAGGTTGTAGTGTAGAATATGTCCTTCATTGATGACTGTGATGAGGTTGGTCACGTTGATGACGTGACAAACGCCGCCTCAGTGAACTGAGTTGACTTTTCTTGCTGACTAAAAGCTGCTGGTCCTCGTGGTCTGCTGCTCCTCTCCTCGATTAATTCAACAGCCTTGAGAATAAAAGCACCAAGTCCTAATTTCTCCTCCCTGTCTGATTGCTGTTGAAGGACATGAATCAGTTTGGCATCAGTCCCTGTGCTCACTGTAGTGAAGAGAGTGGAACTGTGCTTAGTCTCCATTTAGACACAGTGTGTGTGTGTGTGTGTCTGTGTCGTAACAACGTGTTTGGTGAGTAACGAGTAACGACAGCCTACAATTAGACAAAGTGAATCATTTTCTTCATTGAACTAATTTGTTTTCCTGCGACTAAACCACACACTGTTACTGTGGCTTTGTCCCAACGTAGGGGGAAAAAAAACAAACTTTGATTACAGCAACAGGATTTTATGATGCCACTGTCCCATACTGTACTGATACTGATTGAAGTGACCGGAGACGGGTTTATTTAAATAGGACTGCTGAATTCAGAAATGTTTTTTTTCTTCATATAAAGTCATCATCGGCCTTATATAATTCCTCCCGTTCTTCACAACGTGGACAACTGTTTCTCTTCAAGTCCCTTTGTCCACAGAACCAGGGTCTGAGTCTGTGTGAGGGCCTCAGCCCCCTCTCCCTCCTGGGTGCTGAGTAAGTCTTACAGACAGGAAGGAGTGAGTGTCTTTTGGGGAATGTGCTGCAGGCTTTCCCGTCTCTCTCTCTCTCTCTCTCGTTCTCCTTCTTTATTTTCCCCTTCTCCTGCGTTAAAACACTGCTCTGTTGTTCCACCTACCATTATATCCACTGTGGAGCTGTTGGACTTTTCACGCACCATTATATCTACCCTACAACACAATCTTCCATCTGAAGCCCTAACCTGCCCAAACAAAGGCGACGGCGTTACTGGAACAGGCCGAGGGAGCGCGAGAGAAACGTTTTGAATACAATATGGAAATTATCTGGGTTTAAAAAGTACTTGTGCGCGTCATGCAGTCGTGTGGCTCTCGAATTCCTCTCAGATCAAAGTAAGAAATCTGGGAAGCAGAGAAACCTTACACAAAACCACCCTTTGGAAAAATGCAGTAAGTAGTGGAAAACAAAACATTAGGCCAGCAGTAGAAAAGAAAAATCCTGCTCGCGTCGACAAGTGAAAATCATCTAGTCCTTCGAATAAAGTATTCATCT